AATAGAGAGGCCAGTAAGTGCCCTAGGTCATCGGGTGATAGGGGCTTGTGTTAATAATTAATACTTTATTATTTAATAGAGAAGCCAGTAAGCGCCCTGGGTCATCGGGTGATAGGCGCTTGTGTTAATAATTAATACTTTATAATTTAATAGAGAGGCCAGTTAGCGCCCCGGGTCATTGGGTGATAGGCGCATTTGTGTTATTAATATCACAATTTTTAATTTCCACGTGTCTTTGGCAATGCCTCTTCACTGCTGTGCTGTCTGCTCGACGGAACATTCTCCCTTGATCATATAGCTATATATACGATCTAGGGAAAAAGTTCCGATATTGAATCCGCCTAACCCAACGCTGGTAAGCACTGGCCGTTAAATCTAAGTATTTAGATCATGTGTAGGTAAGTTATTAGTGTAAGAGAGATAACACGTCATACTTTTCCCTTTGCACTTGAATATAATCTAGGATACCGATATATTTGAAGATTAACTGCTGCAGCTTACGGAACGCATCCAGGGTGTATGAAAGGAACTAGGGGATTAAGACCAAAGAGTCTAAAAGTCATGGATTAGCTCCACCATTTTCAAGACTAACGAGAGTTATAACAAGAAATCAGAATAGCAACAAGGACTAGAACATAAAATAAGGTATACATAAAAATATATTTCTATAGATTCAAGTATAAACTTTGTACAGTGCAAATGATTTTTAATGAAAGTATTATAATGAACGATGAGTTTTCATTCATGACCATTTAAATTCGATACTTCTAACAAAGTACCGATATTTTTCAAGGTATCGATACTGAATACCATTACTTTTTGTGAGCATCGCATATTTTTTATTTATCGCATATTTATATTTTGATGACATCGTAGTCTCGGATAAATCAATTTCTGCTCACAATAAAAGTCTGCGCGAGGTTTTAACGCATCTCAGAGATGACGGATTGACCGTTAGATATGAAAAATGCCGCTTTGCGCAAGAAAAATCCAGTTCTTAGGCTACGAATTAACGGAAAAAGGTATCGGCACCTCGAGCGAAAAATAGAGCCTATCGTAAGCATGCAAGCTCCAACAAACGTGTCGGAGTTGCAGTCGTTCTTGGGAGCACTCAACTTCTTTTCAAGATTTATAAAAAACTACGCACAAATTGTAAGCCTACTATACCAGTTGTTACGAAAAGATGTCGAGTGACAGTGGTCGCCGGAACATAACGAATCTTTCGAAAATGCAAAGAAGGCACTCATATCACGTGACGTTTCAGTCCATTATGACTCCGCTCGACCAATCAAAATTACATGCAGTGCTTCTCCTAAACGTTTAGGGACTGTCTTGTTTCACGTGTTTGACAACGGCGAGCAAAAATCCATTGCCTACGCATCTAGAGTTCTAACACGTGCCAAAACTAATTTAGGCGCTTGCGGTATTATTTTATGAAGCACAGGTAATTAAAGCAACCAGTAAGTGCCCCTGGTTGTGTGGGCATAGGTGCTTGCGTTGTTATTTTATTAATTATAAATAATTTAAGCTACCAGTAAGCCACCTCGGTTGTGTGGGGATAGGCGCTTGCGGTATTATGTTATTAATCATAAATAATTAAAGCAACCAGTAAGTACTTCTGGTTGGGTGGGGATAGGCGCTTGCGTTATTATTTCATTAATCATAAATAATTAAAGCCACCAGTAAGTGCCCCTGGTTGCGTGGGGATAGGCGCTTGCGGTATTCTTTAATTAATCATTAATAATTAAAGCAACCAGTAAGTGCCCCTGGTTGTGTGGGGATAGGTGCTTCATTGCGTTATTATTCTATTAATCATAAATAATTAAAGCAACTAGTAAGTGCCTCTGGTTGTGTGGGGATTGGCGCTTGCGGTATTATTTTATTTATCATAAATAATTAAAGTAACCAGTAAGTGCCCATGGTTGTGTTGGGATAGGTGCTTGCGTTATTATTTTATTAATCATAAATAATTAAAGCAACTATTAAGTGCCCCGGGTTGTGTGGGGATAGG